ATTTCTGAGTATGTTTTTATTTATTATATGTCAATCAATTCGTAAAGAATACAATATCACATTTGTTTTTAAGACATTAAATATACGAAAGAAAAAATTGAATTTCTTAACCAATTAAAAATATTCCGAATTTAAAGTCTCTCGAACCATTTCAATGCTTCAAATTTGATATTGAAACTTTCAGTTAAAGAATTTAAGCATTTTAATTAAAAATTAACACAATTCTAAAACACTATAAGAAAATTCAAATTTTTTGGATGTTTTAATGTATCATAATATAACATAATATCTGTCCCAATTACAGAAAAAATACGAATAAAATTAACATTAAAGTTTATTTATCAAATTGAAAACACGTTTATTATATATTTTATTATATACAAATTCTGTACTAATTACAAATTATAATTAGTTTAAACAGAATTAGATAAAATTTTATCTTGTATATTGTTTTAATGTAATTCAAATAATCAATTTAACAATTAGTCATGCTTTATTGTACTTGAATTAATATATTTGATTATCTCAGCAAATTTGTTCCAGAAGAGGCTCCAAGTATACTCTTCAATCTGTACCTAAATTATAGAATAATGTCTGTCAGCTACTGCATTTTAATAATTCATAAATAAAAATGCAGTGCATGTTGTAATTCAACTAAGTTAATATACATTTCTTGTTAGAAAAGTACTATCAATAAATTGCGAAAACCCGAAAAATGAAAAGTAAAATTTCAGTTATTTGTAATGCCAAATAAGAACAAGCAAGTTATATTAGCATATAATCTGTTTTACACGCAAATTAACTACCATTTTTACAATTCTAATTTTTAAAGATCGTCATCAGTTTTGTAGTTGAATATAATCTGCGAAAATTTGAATAGATTTCGAAAATGCTTGAATGTAACAGGTTTCAGAATGACGAAAACATTTGTCAAATTAAATCACTAATACAATCAATTGATAATTTAATAGATCTTAATCAATTATCTCATTTATTTTAATTCCATTATACATTATTACTTTAACAGCTATTCAGAAAATAGTTTTCTAGAAGTTATTTAATATGATTAATAATATATTGAATTTCTCTTGTGAGAATATCTAATTTCCGGAATTTATTGAAGAGATATTTCGAATAACCGAATACATTTAGAAGGATCATTTAAAAGAGAGATTTCAGTAAATAGTAGATGTACTTTATAAAATTTGTACCGTTTCCAGTATTCTAAAAATAGAATTTTGAACATAAGATAAATTATAATATGAGAAGACAGATTCTAAGAAAGTAAGAGATGAATATAGAAGTCAAGAGAAAACATAATGGAATAAAAAGTTTAGGTTAAGAAAATAAACGAGTTTTTTTTGTATTGCAAAAGTTTGTAAAAAATATCATCAAGCAACGAGTTGCTTAACTTTACAGGCAACTTTTGATGGCACATCTGTTACGAAAATTCTTTAAAAAGAAATTTTTATATTTTTAATTATTATAAAATGGCAAAAAATACTTAATTTTGAGCGTAGGGATGGGTTTTATAAATAATTATTAATATGAATAACGAATAAAATCGTTATTAAGTCACACCTTTTCGACCTTTTTGTATAGGCAAAGATATTCATTATCGTGCAGTATGATATAAATTACTTTCTCTATTATGGACTGTTTCCAGCTATTGCAGCCTGTGTGTTCTGTCATTATAATTATTATTATTATCATTATTATTGCATCATACAGTTAAATTTCATTTTTAGTTTTTCTCTATCCAAAAGATGTTATCTAAAGGACTAAGTCTTCTTTGTAAACTTGTAAAAATGTATCATAAAAGAAAACGTTTCAGCACTAAAATAAAAGATTTAGGTTATCCAGGAGATCGAAAATGATAAATCTCAAACTGAAGTCGCAAAAGAAAGTTCTCTTTACAAACAGTCTCAGGAATTTAAAAAATCAGAAAGAAACTAAACGTTCCTCAGTTAAAACAGTGAAACAAAAAAAAAAAAAAACTAAAAGAAACACAGTCTTACGCTATTATAATTAGGAGAAACAGTACAAAGTAAGACTTAAAACTGTAGAGTCAGCCTTGCTTATTTTTTTAATAAACAACTACCAAAAGTTATTCGATAACTCAATTATTTTAATTGTCTTATATAAATACAGTACAGAATTACCAATATATACACTAGTATAGTAATTTTGTATTGTCTATGTTTAAAAGTTTCTCTAATTTTAATAAATTTTGTGGTTAATTTTTGAGGACTATCAAACTTAATTTTAAAATTTTGATACAGTTTAAGCTTATTTTAAACTTGAAATTGGGCTTTCAAGGTGGTTCAGAAAGCAATGAAGATATACCATTGAACAGTTTTTATACGCGAAAAAGCTGTTAAGATTTCAGAATATTTTAAAAAACTCTATAGTTTTAAGATGACAAAGGGTGGCTTTTAAATTGTTATAAATATCACACAATTTAATGTGTAACTATATGGGGAATCTGCTTCAGTAGATAACAATGCAACTGAATGTTGGATACATATATACCCCTGTCAATATTTTTAATTGCGGTGAATCAAAACTATTTTACAGGTTGTTGTCAATAAACATTATGTACTCTATGGTAAAAATGTAACGGAGAAACAGATAAGAGAAAGAATTACTGTGTTGTTGTGTTCTTGTGCAGTAATATGACAGAAATTGAAAAACGAAAATTGCTTATCATTTATCAAATGAAGACTCTCAGGAGCAAATAAAAACAACAAAAATATTTGAATGTTTTGAAACAACAAAAGTTATTTCATGAATGGCTTTATCTGGGAATATGTTGTTGTAAAAATTCCAGCAACGAGTTGGTTAACTTTCCCAGCAACATGTGGTGGCGCCACCTGCAATCATATTTTATTGAAAAACTTTTTATATTTTTAACTATTGATATTATAAAATGGCAAAAAGCTTAATTTTGAAGATCTGAATGGATTTTATAAAAATTTGTAAATGTTAAGAACGTTACTCGTTATTACCATATTATAATCGTCAATCCTCCTGGGAATACACACGATCCCCTTTACCTCTCCACTCCTCGACCTATAATCACCAAAATTTAATAGCATAAATTCCCACAATAAACAAACTTATCTGCAAAATTTCAGAAATTTTCGACAAAAAGCACAGGAATTATTAAGCTTAAAACTAAATCATGCCCCCCATACACACACAAACAAACATACACACTAACATCGATACATACAGAAATTACCTCCAAGTGTTTTTGCATTTCTCGACGGTTTCAAAGTCTTCTGAGTCCAAAAATGTAAAACTGAAGGGGTCAGTTTTTGATCGATCGCCATACTTTCCCTCTGTTATACATAACAGTCGGAAAACTAAACGGAGAAAAGTTTTTCTATTGATGGATAAATGCACTGTTTATTCTCCAAAAAACTTAAAATGAAATGAGTCGTGTAGCTTGCCAGCTCTGTTTTTTATTTAGTTAATTTTCATTAATTAATACAACAGTATACAGTATAACAGTACATACATGAACGCGACCATACCGTGGTCTCTTCATTTAACCAATAGATCAAGAAATAATCCAGAATTTCAAAATTCGCTACAAAAGGAATTCTTTCTCGAATAGACACGAAAACCATTTGAAGATCAAATTTATTGGATGCCGTAATAAATATACACTGAAATTGGGGCACAGTGAAATTTGTCCATAGAACAAACGAAGTGCTAGAAGATCAATTTCACCTTCAAACTAGTGAAGATAACTACAGTTTATAAGAATTTCTAAATGCTGACATACTACTATCTACTACTGAGCTAAGTAATTTTACTAATGTTAAAAAAATCTGCAGTTTTGCAAAAAAAAAAGTAATAGAGAGGTTGCGGCCGTCGTATTCAGCCCAAAACGTGAACGGTGCACCGTCGAGCGCCGTCATCTGGCAATTCTGGACGGTCGATAATGGTGTTCGCTACGTCTAATATGACGAGTAGACGATTGGCTTAAACTTCTTCATTTTTTTGTGTTTGGGGTTAAAATTATGACCTATTTTATTAAGATAATGATTATTTAAGCAGTTATGAACAATATTGTAAAGAAACATACGATTTTAATCCAAAAATTATTTAATTATTCAATTTTTTAGCAAGTGATGAAGAATTTACATATATTTGCCTTCATAATAGCTTATCTTAAGGTAGGTTTGTTCTTCCACGGCATCTTCTACCATCAACAGCGTAATACGTTTGTAAATTTTCTAAAAATTTTCGAGCTGCTTTCGGATTTACGTAAGCCACTACTTCCCTCGACTAGAGGTAGTTCTATCGTCTGATCGTATGGTAGGAGACACAACGCTAATTAAAAATAATTATTTAGTGTTATTAAACATCCTATAAATACAGAGAAACAAAACACCTTTTTGCCGAGAAATGAATATAATTTTAAAAAACAAACGTTTTCAGCCTAGTTAATAGGCCATCTTCAGGTCGAAAAAATGGAACGTAAATGTTCCATGAATAGAACATAAAAAATTTTTAAATCAACCTA